CTTATGTATGTATTCGATGCCACAAGATGGCTTGCTGTCAACCAAGAATCCTCTTTGTTTATTTTGTTCCTCTGAATTTTCTTTTCTCATATTGTGAGAATACACTACTAGTGCATTTTACGTCAGCAATGTTTATCATTTCATAAAATATTGTCATAAGCCATCGCCGAATCATAAGCAATTTGAACAGAGAATCGGGTACATATTTGATCAATTGTATCGACTGCATCTTTGGTACTGTTGTAGTAATTATTGATTTCAGGCTTTCCGGACTCTGTGCAGATTTTTACATCGTGATGAAGAGATGAAAGGAGTAGGCTACTAACCTGTTTTTCTTTGGAATATATGACACAAGGGTAAAATAACTTGTAAACTGAAACTAGCCGCATTTTCTTCATTTTCTTGGTTTTAATTATTTAGGGTCTTCTCTTGTTTTGTTTCATTGTGTCAACACGAGTAATATTTAGAGCCTTTCGTGTCTTGCTAGAGTCACAGATGTAAAAAAGATTATCAATTGTAATATTTCGTCCTTCTTTGTCATGCAGTACGGATAATATACAGTGGTGCCTCGTATAACGTACTGTACGCCTCGAATAACGGACTGGCTGCGAACAACGGACTTTCCGTTCGGCAGTTACGTGAAGCGAACAACGGACTTTCTGCGAACAAGTGTGAATGATGTTTCCACTCTTTTGCCGTTGCCAATGACAATGTCTGCTATTTTTATAATATATTAGTATTATTAGAATATATTATTAGTATATCTGAAGTACAGAGCTCCTGTTGGGTTCGGTTTGCTCCCTTGTTTATTACGTACATCACCTCAGTGCAGGGTATTTACATTTATTCAAGTGCTGTGCAAATCATGGCTCCTAAAAAACAGAAAGGTGATTTCAATTGAAACAAAGCAAGAAATCATCAGAAGGAGTGAAAGTTGACAAAATCTTCCTTGTCAAATGGGGAGAGGTTCAATAGTTTATCAACACTCATTATCCAAACACAGCTGAGGCCAACAGGATCAATGAACTCTACAATGACACCCTTGCCCGTCATTTCTGACAGGTGTTGAAGAAGAGAGAGAAACAGACCACCTTGGACATGTTTTTCAAGAAGCCAGCTGCCAAAAAACAAAGGATGGAACAAGAAGAGTTGATCCTGCAAGCTCCGGTAGCCTCTCTTGAATCTGACTCCGATTAAAAAACAATAAAAAGAGACCTGCTGCAATGTGTAAAAAGTCTGTATCTGTATGAATGTGTGAAGAAAGTGTTCCTCCACCTCCTCTTCACAACATCTGACTACCCGGCATAATTGGTGACTGCTCCATTTTCATTTTTTTTATGGTACAGTACGGTTATTTTATGCTGCGGAACGAATTATAAGTTTTAACATGTATTTCTATGAGAAAATGCGTTTCATATAACGAACTTTTCATTTAACGGACGTGCTCCTGGAATGGATTAAGTAGGTTATACGAGGCACCACCATATATGCAAAAGGAAGAATACAGCATGCAGTGAAAACAGTATTTATTTTGTTATTGTTATATAAAACACAATTTTAGAATTCGGCCTTTTCCAAGATCTTCACAATAAACGTTTTCTTGTAGTCGAAAAAGTGATTAGTCAGTGTCGGTTATCTGTAAATCACCTATGGGCAAATAATCCATATAATATGTTCCACCTAGTTGCGACAGTTTCCAGCATGTAACAGCACTTTCCCCCAACTAAACCCCCATTGGAATAGGTATCTAGAAATTGGAGGTAGCAAAAACTTTAGACGAAGTCCCCGAGATTATACCGTCTTGTAAAAAAAGAACATTATCTAAAACGAGTGTCGCCTACTGCGTATTTTTCTGTTTGAGATTCGAACATAGTTAATTCAGAAATTCCTGGTTCAAGTGAGAATTGTACTCACGGCTTTTTTACAGTAGAGGAGAGCGGGGTTAACTGAGTATAATTTTTTCAATGTTTCTTTATTCCATGTTACAGGCCTACTGGCCTATGTATAGTAAATGAGAGACAGAGAGAGGGAGGAGGAAAAAACAGTTTTGTTTGTATATACATAAAATGTAAAAAATATTGTTTACATATCAATTGGCCCAGTTAATCCCAAGATGTGAGTTAACTGGAACATCCGGTGGGGTTAACTGGATATATATGAAATGCTATGTTAAATGATTCCATAAGTAGAAAAACCAAAAGTAAATGCACAATTTTTATCAAAACGACCACGTTCATCCTAGTAAAATAAATAAAGCAACTTTAAATTAAGCTTGCTTACATTGTATTAAAGCTTCCTTTAAAGCTTACATTGGCCTGTTTTTCATTTGAAAATTGAAATTTGTTTGTTCCTCTTCAACCATTTGACAGCGAAATCCTCATCCAAATTACTGTGTTTGGATGTGTCACTGTATTTCTGATGTGCTAGACCAATTTCTTGTTGAAGGACTTTCCATTTGTACTGCGGCAGAGGAACAAAAGTGGGGTTAACCCGACGGCCGGATGACCGAGCGGTGAAGGTGGCAGCCTACCGCTCTGGGACCCGGGTTCGAATCTGGACGGATCGATAAATTCCCAGGAATTTTTCGGAGCGGTGGTCCGTTCGGATATGTTGGGCTCCGTCCCTCACCACCCAGCCCCCCATTATGGGCCTGGCCGAACCTATAATGTGCTTGCAAAAGAGGGCCTTTTAATGAGAAAGTAGTGCAAAAAAGTTTAAAAAAGATCCAGTTAACACAAAAAAAAACATGTTCCACAAACATTGGTGCGTTTAAGACATATTCAGTTATCGAAGCTTAAACACAAACTCCAGAAGTAAATTTATCAATAGCACTGTGTCTACGTTTTCTCAATAAGTAATGTTCGAAAAAGCATGCCAAGATGAGCTAAAATACCCGCAGATTTCCAATCTTCTCTAAAATCATCTACCCAGCATGTCTGAGGGCCACCATATTACTCAGTGCTGTAACTAGGCAGGTGCAACAGGTGCACCCACACAGGGCTCACTTGGAAGAGGGGTCCAAAATGCATGCATTTGTTTTATTAGTTTCCCAAACCTAATTAATTAAGGGGCCTAAATGCAAATTCCTGCACATGGCACAGGAATGGCTAATTACGGCACTGATATTACGTGTGTGACTTGGGCCCTCTAGAGGAAATCAATGGCACTGACACAGATGAAAATTTAAACACGAGAAGTAATGGGAAGCTACGGGCCACTTAACCCAGCTATATAGCATACCGTTTTTACTTTTACTCCTAACAGTCCACATCGAATAATTTTTAGTCCGTATTAAGTTTTATGCGCTTATACGGTCATATTTCCGTAGCGCAAGAGTAAAATTCTGAAAATCTCGTAAATTTCGCGATCTATGTCGGTAGACACTCATTTCATCCAGGAAGACAACGTTTGCTTTATTCAATTGTATAAATCTACATATGTATTCGAACCGCTTTTGCACCGTTTGTCTTATTACCCAGCACAGGATCATCAACATCTATGCGTTTGAAGAATTATACTGAAGGTGATATAAATGGTAAGTATCCAAAATATATTTAAAAAATTGAATTTAACCTCAACTTACTTTTTATTTAGAATACGATCACGTAATTTATAAAAAAAAATTTATCTTCTGAGGACGAATGGTTTGCTGAGTTTCAAAAACGCCTGGATATATAAATTTCCTGTTGTTATTGTTGCCACTTTAATAACATTTTCAGTTCCTCTTCCGAACGATAGTGTAATTTTAGCGATTTAGTTTAAAATAGATTTATTGGGAAATGTCTATATTTACACACTTTACTCACTAAATTAACTCACTTACACACTTTCCTCACTAAATTAACATGATTTAAAATATGCCAAGTATCGTGCAACATGCAAATAAAGATTAGTTAAATTTTTAGCCAGTGCTTCTGCTTAGTGTCCAGAAAAAGATCAAACGTTAAAGTTTAAAATTTCGAATAATTTATAATTATTGGAATCGTGTATACTAAACGCCAAAATTAATAAAATAAAAGTGTTTGCATTTAACAATATTTTAAAATCAGTTGAAATGTAAAATACCTTTCATATTTCAAAACAAGAAAAACTAGAATTAGCCTACTCCACTTTCAAAGGTTCCCATCAAACCATATATATATATATATATATCACTAGACAGAATATTGACATATTTGCAAAATAGTTGAAACAACATGAGAAAAATCAAATCCTAATCTAATAATTAGAATATATAGTGAAAAAATTCCATGAGAAATATGATGTAGCCTTTCTTTCTTTAGGTGGTCATATCGAAACCCTCAAAATGCATCTTTGCTGTCTTGAGGCTAAAGAAGATTCCTGTGCTTTCTAGCATACAACCCTCTCATCCAGTAGGTTTTTGCCAGATGTGGGTCCCATAATACACAGATCTGATTTTGTGAATATGCAATCTTACTTAAACAAACTGTAGGGTCTAGTGCTCTCTGTACTCCAATAACATGCTTCTGTCCACATGTGGAATTTTAAAATGAAATTAATTTATCCAATTAACTTCATTAAAAATTTCATTCTTTTCCCTTTCTTTCTTTTTGTTCACGTTTTTTGGGGCCAGGTGTTCTGCACTTGTTTCCCCTCCCAATTATATATCCTCTTGCATATTTCTATTGTGTACTGTGAAAGATTTCTGTATACATTATGAATTCTAGTGCAAACAACTGTTTCCATCTCATAATAGTTCATAAACAAATTTTTAAATCTTGTACTTACTTGTTTTTTTTTCTAAAAATGACACAGTAGAGAACATGACATAATTTGAAATTTCAAAAACTAGAAATAAATATATAGCCTAGTTTGAATCCAGCAATTTATGCTGGAAAAACTTTTAAATTTTGAATTATTAGTTAGAAATTAAATAAATAATTTTTCTTAATGAATATAATGTCTAAAGTTATGCTTTTTAAGAGAAAAAAGAAAAGTATTTTAAATTAAAATTTATTATTATATAAAATGGCATTAAATATATAATCTGTACTTACCACAAAAATTAATAATTCTTAAACTTTTATATACAATAGTATTATTTTCCAAATCTGTTACAGTAATTCTATAATGTTCAAAATTACAATTCATATAAATAATTAAGTATAAACAAATAAATTCATAATTCTTTAAAAGTAAATCCTTTATATATTATCTGTTTAAGAAATCAAGCTTTACATAATCATAAAACATGGTTCATATTTTCAAGATTAAACTGAGAAAAAGATATAGCTGGATGATTAGAATAGAGTATTTGACCTGTTATTGAAAGATTATAGGATTTGGGTGTCATCTGAAAATAAACTTTTTTGAACTGATTTCTTTCTTTTAATGGTCAAATAGCTTACACTTTAATAATTTAATTATTAACAGATCATCCATTCACTTATTTCATGATGAATAGTTATGATTTGTATATCTGAAGCTTATAGAGAAAATTAAGTCCCTTTTATAATTCACAAGTATAATTAATATTTATTATTAATTAATGATGGTAAGATGATTATTCAAATGAATAAAACCAGAAAACTAGAAATACTAAATTTTCTGAAATTACTTTTTATGAAGATATATCTTTAATCTATGATCACTTTTATTTACATCATAATTTTTGTATTTTACATTAAAAATTAAATCAATAATTGATTATCTTTTTTATAGCTTCAAAGCATCTCCATTTTGTTGGAATGTAAAATGGTTCAAATACATGAGAAAAAGGTGTGTCGTAACCAGTAACCCTTTGTATGGGCGCTTCTAGATTAAGAAAACATTCTTCCTAAAAATAAAAAATAATTATCATCATTAAAGTGTTGCTTTATATATTTTGATTATAACTGTAATTATAAAATATTTATTGAACAAATATTTAACATATTCTTAATAAACATATTCTATTTACAAAAGGATTAGTAATGCATATGATAATGTACTGTACAGTGCATTAGAATTTCATATTTTCAGGTTAAAAATGTATTAAAACTTTTAAAAAAAATTTAAATTACAAATCAAAATATTCAACTAAAAAATCAAGTATTGATATTTAGAAAAATATATAANCAACTCATTTTTATATTAAAAAAGAATCTAAATGAAATATTTTTCGTCGTAATAAAATTAGGAAATGTAATTCACTTTACAACCATTTTCAATGACCCGTGTCTGTTTACTGTTTATCCACAAATTGCCTTAAGTAACTTTATCGATTTTGCTTATTCTATTACAGTTTGAAATTCGTTGTATCTCTTACAAAATAAGCAACGAAAAGACATGATAATGTTTATTATTTTATAAAGAAACATACGGCAATTCTATGTCACTCGGTACGTTACGAAAATTGAATTCATCTAAAATAAATTTCCTTTCCAAATTTGGATTTTATATGATAATCTATATTTAAAAAAAAAAATTAAACTTCGATATAGCGCTATCCTAAATAGTCACTCTCTAAAAGCGCGAGTGAATATTTTTGAACGGATTCATTCCATAAACAGAAAATGGAGAACCCTTCAGGATATGTGAATTACAGTGGAACGCCATTTATCCAGATTTCATAAATCCGGATCATAAAATATAATCCCTGCTATATGGAAAACCTATAAACGCGAAAAAATCAAAGAACTAAGTACTGTATATTCTTCCTTGAGTGTAACATTGCAGCTTGCAAGAATAAACTTATTTTCTATGAGTCTTCATATAATGTTCATTGTTATGCATTCGTGGGAGTGTTTTTTGAGTTTACTTAAATTAATAAAAGTTTAACGTTTGTAGTAATCTTATTATTCACTCAACACACAAGTTTCACTGAGTTTCAGTCACATCCAATCTTTTGTGAAGTGAACACCATGAAAATGACGTTTAAAGAAAAAAAAAGTGGTTGTTAGGATGAAGAAGAAATCAGAAATATAAAATAAAAGTATATAAATCGTGTTGTTTATGTTGTTAACGAATTTTCCAGATTATCTGGATTTTCGTTCATCCAGCGGACCCAGTCACGTTTGAGCCGGATAAACGAGATTCCACTGTACTACCCTGTACAGTACCTATGACTTTGAATTGCAAGCGATGTTAGGCCTATTATCAACTAAACATATGCCTCAAATTTCTAAAATCAAACTTGTATATAGACAGTGGCGCAGCCATGGGGGCCAAGGGGTCCTGCACCCACCAAATTAAAAGAGAAAAAACTAGTAAATTTTCCAACATTTTTTCCTTAATAAAATTTATTTTTTTTTGTTTATATTATGTCGTGTCTATTATTTATGAATTAATGGCTAATTTGTATTAACAGGTTTTTATCCATTCAACTCAGCTCCCACAAAATTAAATTTTCAGTACGCCACTATGTATAAACTTCTCTGCTGTATATAATTCTTACTGTTTCGAGTTCTTCAATTTAGTGCCATACTCAATTTAACACCAATTTTAGAGAAGAACAAATGATAACGTTAAATCAAGGTTTGCAATATAATAATAAGAATAGTTAAATATAATAAAACTTCAAAATGTTCTTTCCTCAAATTTCATATTAATAATAAAGTACAATTTTAAAAACTATTAGTATGTAGAGATTTATATAAAAGAAAGCGTACGAAAATTAATAAAGTTAATACAAAATTAAGACGAAGCATAAATAATATTAAATAGTTTAAATCATAAATCTAAAATAAAATTATAAATTGAAACGATGAAATAAACAAGGAAAAAAAATGAAAAAAAATGACAACAATAAGAAATTAAAAATAATATTTCAATTGTATGATCAGAAAAAAATTTAGATCAATATGTATTATAGTAATTTGAATTAAAATTACTGATTGAAATATTGTCAAGTGATCAGTGGCGTAAGAGGGAAGTAAGGGAGGTATTTACAAAAGGAACCCGAGTTCTATTAGTAAATAAATAAACGAAGAAAAATGAAATAAGTACAGCAAAACGATTTGAATATGATAAAAGCACTTGTACACATGTATATACATATAAGAATTTAATCTTCCTCTACAGCGCTAGAGGATACTACAGTATTATAGGAGTAATTAGGTCCTCTACCGTCATTCTAGTTACGTTACTGCAAGTAATTGTTGAGAGTAAGATGAAATTTATCCTAAAGCTAAATTGATGATTGAGACAAAGTTAAATTTTGTGCAAAGCGAAGATACTTGATGTCATTCATTCCATAAATAGATGAGTGGTATTGATTCAAATTGCACTTTACAAAAGGGACAACCTACTAATAAATTTCTACTACTGTATATTTTACTATATATTTATTATTATTATTATTATTATATATTTTTAAATAAATGAATAATTGTTTCTAAAATTATTTTATTATTATGAAAAAATACAATAAAAAAATTTTAAATTAATTTTTATTCTGGTAAATTTGAATTAATATTCTCATTTAAAATAATGAAATAAAACGTTTTGGTTATAATTAACAAAAACTAAATAAAATTAACTCTAATTTATTTGCTATCTAACATAAACTATTATGTTTTATATATTCTGTATTATATATTTTTTATCATATAAATATTTTATTTAATATAACTTAATTCATTTATTTAGCATAATTTACATTCATTTGAAAACGCTTAATCAATATTCAAGATATTTATTTAGACAGATCACTATTTATCCTTGCATTTCAAAAACTAATGATATTGCATCGTCTCTTCATCATAGTTTATAACTGAAGCTAAATTTCAGAGCAAATAATATTCCTTTTTTTGAAAATAATCATACATTCATACAAATAATAAATGTGCAAGATTAATAATGATAATAATATTAGTTAAGTTTAATTACGGAATAAACCATCGGTTTGATAATTACAAGATACAAAAGGATTGTCAAAACATATTTAAACAGAATTACTAGAAATTTGTTTTACCATCAACTAAATTAATGCAAAACTTCTTAAATATTTAAAGACGTATCAACCTCGGAGGAACCTGAGATAGATTCCGGGCGAGCAATTCCCTAAAAATTTTTCATGGGAGATCAGCCTCAAAAATATATTGAGCCCCGTTCTTCATCATTCAGCAGCCTCCATTGTTGATTTGGCCTAAGCACAATGGTATGGTATAAAAAAAAGGCTCTTAATTCCCACAGAGCGGAAAAGAGTTTTAAAAAATAGAGTGTAAAAGATTATAATTTCATCCAAAAAAACTTTCACTAAAAATTAACAGAACATAAATCGTTCAATTCGGAAATATTTAGCGATGAGAGATTTAAATCTACAGATAATAAACTAATTATTAGTCTTTGTTTTTCTGTTTGAAAAGCTTTATATATTATATGCCTGATGAATAATTTTTATTAAAAAACATAATTTAAAAATAACAGAAAGGATTAAAATTTGGAGAATCAAATTAATCCAATTTAAATATACTTTATAGTTCGGATAATCTCACATTAAAAAAGATATTAAAAGTCATGACTTGTCTATTTCGATGATGCCAAAAGATGATATTTGTTACTAATATTTACTGAAATAACACACTGGAAGATAACAAAGGTTAAATGCATACAATATAATAGGAAATTGGCCAGATGGCCGAGAGGTAAAGGTGGTAACCTACCGCTCTGGGGAATCCGGAATCGAATCCGAACGAATTGAATAATCCCCGAGAATTTTTCGAGGGGTGATCTGACTGGATATGTCGGTCCCCGTCGCTCACCACCCGGCCGCCCCACTGTGGGCTTGGCCTGACCGAATCCATAATGGACTTGCAAAAGGAAGCCCTCTTAGTGCCCACAGGGCGGAAAGAATTAAAAAATAAATAAATAAAAATAGGAAGTTACAAACATACTATGCGTATACTTATATTAATTACACATGTAATTATATATGATGGTCGAACAGATATTCCAAAAATAGATTATCTTCAAAATTTTGTTCGGAAATTCGATAAAGAAAAAAATAAAATAAATAAGAATAGCAATTGAAAACTTTAGTATCAAAAATGCTATCTTTCAAAATCTTTCAGCGTTAAAGATTAGGCTATCTTAAATCCTTCTTTCACAAATTCTTCTCACGACAAATTCACTTTTATATGGTCATATTTCTCTAAAATTGCACATATTTTATGATAAAGAAATTTTATCTGGATTTAGTTTCATATTATGGTCTTTTTTCACTCAATTGACGTTCATTCCTTTCATACTATATTGATTCTACTCGAAACGATCGCTTTAGTTTGAAAATTTTTGAGAAACCGCCATTCTACATATTTTACCGTTATAATTAAAAAATATATATATTTCATAAAACTGCTGAATATAATATATATATTTTTTTTACTATAATAAAATGAAATATTAGGCAATGATTATTATGTTGAAAATGAAAACAAAATAGTAATAGATTTGCATATTGTTATTAATGAAATGTCATTTCTTTATAATATTTGCAACTAGGGTTTCTCATATCCGGATTCTTCGTTTGTCCAGGGATTTCGAAATAAAGTGATATATTTATATCTTAAAATTAATTATACCCCGGAAAAATCCCGGGATATAAATAATTATTTTTAAGATATAAATAATAAATCTCGAAATCGAATGATATAATTATGTTTCGTTTTTAAGTAATTTTAGACATCTTGCAACCTCCAAAATAATAATATTAATAATGCTGTGTAAAATATGTATTAAAAATTACCTTTCAATTACGTAGAAATTTTCACAAATAGAAAAAATTTATTAAAATTTGTTGGATGCTGCTTACAACAAAAATGCCTTTGAATTGAATTGAAAATTAAAAAAAAAAATGAACTTAGATCAAACTTCTAACTTAAAAGGTAATTTTCGTTTTTTAAATAAAGCATAATACAAAATATTATTGTAAATTTTTATAATAAGATTTTAAAAAGGAAAGATGGTCAATACTCCGATTACTCAATTTGGTTCTTATTTTAGTAATGAAAAGTTCCGCTAGCTAGAATGCCCGTTCCGATTCATTGGATGTGGATGAAATCGTTTTTAATGCATTTAAAAGAGAGGATAGCTGTTATGTGTTTTTACACCCATAGCCTGGAAGATTTCTAGTTCGTTTTCGAGATGTGTTGCAGTACTTCTTTTGCCGTCTAGTATTCTTGATTTGTCTACCTCGGCTGCTTTAATAGCGGCATCAAGCTTATAGCCCGATAATTCGACAGTTCGTTTGTATTTAATAATCAGGTTTCTGAAGAAAAACTTCATACTTGCACACTTCGTACTCGTTTGTATCTTTGCCCAATTTGCACAACCTGGCATAATGCAGTTATTGAAGCTACTGGTTAAAAATTAATTAAGACAGCATCAGCCAATTATTCAAGATACTACAGGTTCTGACAAGTAAAGAACTTTCAGAATCCTGCCATAAATAGGCTACATATTGATTACTGACAATGTGTGGCAAGCAAAAATTTTAAAATCTAATAAGCAGGCTTAAAATTAATAAATATAAATGTATTCTGACAGTTTATGAGTTAATTATATATTTTAAGATTTCTTGCGTGTAGGTCATATTTACTGACATAAAACTATCATACTTAAAATTGTCACACTTGATGATATGATAGTTTTGTCAGTAAATATGATCTACACGCGAGAAATTTTGTCATGTTACTAATTGTTGTTTTTTAATAACTTGTAGTATTACACTGAAGAGGGGCTTAGCATTTAAATAAGACCGAAATGCATATGAGAAAACAATAGAAGAAGTGTCTAACCTGAAAGCTGTAATGATAGTCTACCAAACTTAATAGTCATTCGGATTAAAGAGACATACATTCATAGAATTTAAATTTTATTTAAAATATGAAACAGACATATTATAAATATAAAATATATTCTTGCAAGCATAATAAACTAAAGAAAAAATTTCTTGTTCTGTAATGAATCCACAAATTTCAATTGCCGTTTTAATGTTTCTACGAACCCGTGAATTCTTATGTATGTATTCGATGCCACAAGATGGCTTGCTGTCAACCAAGAATCCTCTTTGTTTATTTTGTTCCTCTGAATTTTCTTTTCTCATATTGTGAGAATACACTACCAGTGCATTTTACGTCAGCAATGTTTATCATTTCATAAAATATTGTCATAAGCCATCGCCGAATCATAAGCAATTTGAACAGAGAATCGGGTACATATTTGATCAATTGTATCGACTGCATCTTTGGTACTGTTGTAGTAATTATTGATTTCAGGCTTTCCGGACTCTGTGCAGATTTTTACATCGTGATGAAGAGATGAAAGGAGTAGGCTACTAACCTGTTTTTCTTTGGAATATATGACACAAGGGTAAAATAACTTGTAAACTGAAACTAGCCGCATTTTCTTCATTTTCTTGGTTTTAATTATTTAGGGTCTTCTCTTGTTTTGTTTCATTGTGTCAACACGAGTAATATTTAGAGCCTTTCGTGTCTTGCTAGAGTCACAGATGTAAAAAAGATTATCAATTGTAATATTTCGTCCTTCTTTGTCATGCAGTACGGATAATATACAGTGGTGCCTCGTATAACGTACTGTACGCCTCGAATAACGGACTGGCTGCGAACAACGGACTTTCCGTTCGGCAGTTACGTGAAGCGAACAACGGACTTTCTGCGAACAAGTGTGAATGATGTTTCCACTCTTTTGCCGTTGCCAATGACAATGTCTGCTATTTTTATAATATATTAGTATTATTAGAATATATTATTAGTATATCTGAAGTACAGAGCTCCTGTTGGGNCAAAGCTTGTGTAAACTATCTATGTATGCAATGCATAAACAAATTTTTTATTTCTCTTACAACAGGATTATTATTTTAAAAATTTTACCATAAAAGTAAGTAGTAATTTTACTATAAAATAATTAGAATGCTATTTTTCCTTTCAAAATCAAATATTTCAAACAAGTATTACATTTAATGTAATACAAAAATTAGAAAGAATTTGTAAAAAAAGAATTGAAGAGGGGCAAAAAAGTGCCCAAAATGCATTCTCTGAAACAAAATAACAATTCAGATTGGTGTGTGGTTTCCTTAAAAGAAACTAAGTTTTATTAAACAATTAAACCAATTAAATTCTTACTCAAATAGTACATGTAAACATTACTCAAAAACATGCAAAAAAATAAGAATTATAGAATTTCAAATTACACAAAGTAAGTTAGCTATTAGCTTTTGGTTCTCGTTATTTTGTGTATAATTTTAATATTAAAATATAATGTACTGACAACCTTATGGCCCTCTGTGATTTTTTCTGAAACCCATATACTTGGTAGTATGCAGGTTTTAAAAAAGTCATGGAGTGTATCATAAGCAATTTACAATAAGTAAGCAAATAGAAATCATAAGGCTGTAAGTAATAAATTTGAAAATCAGTTATCCATGGCATTTGCACCTTCTTTACAAATGTAGATACAAATCATCAAATTTGATAATTTTAATGATTTTGGCCTAATCTCATATCAAAACAATATCATTTGACCTTTTATTATAGAAAGGTTGCCTATTCCTGATGTATATGAAAGTTCATCTAATGCATATTAGTTTTATGTAATCAGTTTAACAAGTAATTCATTTAATAAGTTAATGTTGCAAATTTCTTCTGATTCATACTGATCATTAATATAGTGTGCTATTTTTTCTTGTTTTAATTCTTTAACTAAAAAAAACATAGATAGATATTTAAATTACAATATACCAATATTAGTTTTAAATATTTCTCTGATTGTTCATAATTTACTTTCTCTAACTTGTTAGATAAAACTTTTCACACTTTGTTTCTAGCAGTTTAATCACTAAGTACAAACGTTTTCGGCTGTTTTGAATGGCCTTCTTTTTGAATCAGGTTCAAAAAGTTTGTACTTAGTGATAAAAATGCTAGAAACAAAGTGTGAAAGGTTTTGTCTTACAAGTTAGTCATTTTAAGTAGTTCTAGCTTCAAATGCATAGAAATTTACTTTCTCTTTTGTAAATTTATATTTCTTAATAGAACCACTAAATGGTTTTATTAAGAAATTTAATACTGTACTTAAGATAACACAGACTACTTTTTATTAAATTTGTCTATTATATTATATTATATGCATTCTCTTATTTAAATTAATTCAAACACACCATACTTACACATCAAACATACCATACTTACACATTTTTGAATACCAATGCTACTTTGTTGGATTTATGTTTAAACCTGATGAAGACTATAAACTATCTCAAAAACATTAGTTTGGCAAATGGTTTGTTCTGGATATTAAAAGATTGAGTTATTCATTATAATAATATTCCTTCTACTGCAGTTTTTATTATAAAAAAAATATATCAACTTCAGCTTTGTTCTACGTCTTTGTGTTAACTACTGTACATTTTTATATTTAAATAACTTAAAAACTAGTCTTTTTACAGCATGATAATGTTTGCTTAAATTGACATTTCAAATAAAATATTATTTGAAAATTATTAAATATTTAAGAGCTAAATTACTCACTTCAGCAACTGTTTCTTTGTCCCATGGTAAAATTGTAACAAGATAAATTACTTCACATGAAACATTTAGTTTATCTTGTGCAATTTGAGCAACTTCTCGTAGAACATTTTGAAATTTTAAAATTGCTCTCTGCCTCCAATAAGGAATCACAGGAGTAACTTAATTTTTATGAAATTGAAAAGGCCTCTCAAAAATTATAACTTATTTTGAACAATTTTTTAATTGGATGAATATTTTATGAGATATTTGTCAGTAACATTATAAATGGACCAGCCAGTATATATATATATGTCTTGTTTATAAAATCATACTGCTATTTTATGTTATCAGCATAGAGGTATGAAGGAGTAGTACATGTCAAGAGTTGATATTTGGCACAGAGTATTAGGTGCCCAAATCATTTGCACATAAAAAATCCAGACTTGTAGGTAGTCAGGGGACCAAAAACCAAGTCAAAATAAAATACAAAATGGCGACCCTCTTCTACAAACAGGCAAAACAGGCACCTCACCCCACCGAAGTCAGGTGGGGAAGAGTACCACCCACAGTCATTCTGAGAAGTGAACTCTGACCTTAGGACTGAACACATAGTTTCTTCTATGTTAAATAAAATTTGTAATCTAATTTTCTAAATTTGGGAGTGCTTCAAATATGACATTAAAACGGTTTTATGTTGTTACAAGTGGTTTTTTTTAACATTATCCAGTATAGTAAAATTGTGGAACCAATAAAAATTGATGTTATATTAGGGTTGTCATTACATCTGATGACATTATAATTGCATTAAACTGTATATTGTTTGTGCAAAATAAAAAAATAATTTCAGACGATACAATAGCCACGATTATTTTTTCAAAAACAGGAAATTTTCGTTACACATCAACAAAAATTCAACCTAGGCTGACATGCAACGGAGAGAAATTTCAAAATTGGATAAGTTAATTTCATCGAAAATGCATCGTGGATGACCTCGTGATCATGGCTGGCGAAGTTTGAACAACTGCGCCCAAAAGCAGTGATACCAAAGAAGACTGGAGAATGAGAATGAGACCCGCCTTGAGTGTCAAAGTGATTCCACTTAGTAGTGAGTCTCTGAGACATAGTCTTGTCCCAAATACGGTTTTGCCATTTACTTGTTTACCATTAAAATAGATATTACTGGTTTATTGTATTATATTATATATATATTATTTATAATCAAAACTTTCTCTATATAGCCAAAGTTCACCTATACAGACAAACATAATTTTCTGACTTTAAGATGCTAATTAGATAAAACAAGGTTATACAAGCTTTGTTTATTTTTATAAACAAAGCTTGTGTAAACTATCTATGTATGCAATGCATAAACAAATTTTTTATTTCTCTTACAACAGGATTATTATTTTAAAAATTTTACCATAAAAGTAAGTAGTAATTTTACTATAAAATAATTAGAATGCTATTTTTCCTTTCAAAATCAAATATTTCAAACAAGTATTACATTTAATGTAATACAAAAATTAGAAAGAATTTGTAAAAAAAGAATTGAAGAGGGGCAAAAAAGTGCCCAAAATGCATTCTCTGAAACAAAATAACAATTCAGATTGGTGTGTGGTTTCCTTAAAAGAAACTAAGTTTTATTAAACAATTAAACCAATTAAATTCTTACTCAAATAGTACATGTAAACATTACTCAAAAACATGCAAAAAAATAAGAATTATAGAATTTCAAATTACACAAAGTAAGTTAGCTATTAGCTTTTGGTTCTCGTTATTTTGTGTATAATTTTAATATTAAAATATAATGTACTGACAACCTTATGGCCCTCTGTGATTTTTTCTGAAACCCATATACTTGGTAGTATGCAGGTTTTAAAAAAGTCATGGAGTGTATCATAAGCAATTTACAATAAGTAAGCAAATAGAAATCATAAGGCTGTAAGTAATAAATTTGAAAATCAGTTATCCATGGCATTTGCACCTTCTTTACAAATGTAGATACAAATCATCAAATTTGATAATTTTAATGATTTTGGCCTAATCTCATATCAAAACAATATCATTTGACCTTTTATTATAGAAAGGTTGCCTATTCCTGATGTATATGAAAGTTCATCTAATGCATATTAGTTTTATGTAATCAGTTTAACAAGTAATTCATTTAATAAGTTAATGTTGCAAATTTCTTCTGATTCATACTGATCATTAATATAGTGTGCTATTTTTTCTTGTTTTAATTCTTTAACTAAAAAAAACATAGATAGATATTTAAATTACAATATACCAATATTAGTTTTAAATATTTCTCTGATTGTTCATAATTTACTTTCTCTAACTTGTTAGATAAAACTTTTCACACTTTGTTTCTAGCAGTTTAATCACTAAGTACAAACGTTTTCGGCTGTTTTGAATGGCCTTCTTTTTGAATCAGGTTCAAAAAGTTTGTACTTAGTGATAAAAATGCTAGAAACAAAGTGTGAAAGGTTTTGTCTTACAAGTTAGTCATTTTAAGTAGTTCTAGCTTCAAATGCATAGAAATTTACTTTCTCTTTTGTAAATTTATATTTCTTAATAGAACCACTAAATGGTTTTATTAAGAAATTTAATACTGTACTTAAGATAACACAGACTACTTTTTATTAAATTTGTCTATTATATTATATTATATGCATTCTCTTATTTAAATTAATTCAAACACACCATACTTACACATCAAACACACCATACTTACACATTTTTGAATACCAATGCTACTTTGTTGGATTTATGTTTAAACCTGATGAAGACTATAAACTATCTCAAAAACATTAGTTTGGCAAATGGTTTGTTCTGGATATTAAAAGATTGAGTTATTCATTATAATAATATTCCTTCTACTGCAGTTTTTATTATAAAAAAAATATATCAACTTCAGCTTTGTTCTACGTCTTTGTGTTAACTACTGTACATTTTTATATTTAAATAACTTAAAAACTAGTCTTTTTACAGCATGATAATGTTTGCTTAAATTGACATTTCAAATAAAATATTATTTGAAAATTATTAAATATTTAAGAGCTAAATTACTCACTTCAGCAACTGTTTCTTTGTCCCATGGTAAAATTGTAACAAGATCAATTACTTCACATGAAACATTTAGTTTATCTTGTGCAATTTGAGCAACTTCTCGTAGAACATGAATTTGAGTTCCCCAACCAACTAAAGTCACATCAGTTCCTATAAAAAAAAATGCTTAATTTAATATTTGTAAGCAATTTTTAATAATAATATATTATACCAAATAAATAAATTAACAAAATAAATTAGATTTGTCTGATTCTTAAGATTAAATGTTAATATCTGATTAACAGTTATTTATTTTTAAAAATGTTTTTCTGATAGTTAATTTTTTAATTAAAAGAAAAATTAGTAATATTTGAGTGAATCCAGATGGCAAGTGACAAATTTTAAGCAAACCAATAAAACTGTTCTGCATCAAAAATTCTCCTATGAAAGAAAATATGATCAATAATCAAAATATAATCTTTTTATGTATTTTAGTATGCTCAAACATAAAAACTGGCACTCTTAAACTGGAACTATATAATAAACCAACTATTTGACACCTAAATGCAAATTCCAGCATATAAAAAACAAAGAATGTTTAATGTTTAAAAATTTGAATGCAGCAAAGTTCAAAAGTTTGAAATTATCAAAGGATAGAACTGTTTTTTGTGTTTTTTGTGCATTCATTCCTGATGAGGGTCTCTAAAAGACGACCAAAAACATTTGAACATTAAACATTCTTTGTTCTTTATATGCTGGAATTCACATTTAGGTGTCAAGTAGTTGGTTTTTTAGTGTGCTGAATATGAAGTTCAAAACCATGTGTTACCCACAGATATTTTTTTTAAATACCACTATTTTGTAGAAAAATGCTTCTTTTAGACAAACTTTCTGTTACTGTTGTTTAAATAAAATATAAAATCAGGAAACTATATAATATGCTGACAGGTCTTCAAGAAGGATACACCAATTCTGTTGTTTTTATGTGAATGGGACAGTCAAACAAGAATCAGTCACTACTTGGTAAAAAAAAAAAATGGTCCAATCACATAGCGAAAGTACAAGGTCAAAAGAATATTGCTTTTCCTGCTCTGATGGAGAAAACTAAACTCCTCTTACCGCCTCTTCATATCCAGTTCTGTTTGATGAAAAACTTAATGAAAGATACAGACAGAGAAGGAGAAGGCTTTGCTTACCTGAAGCAAAAGTTTTCTCATCTGAGTGATGCAAAAGTAAAAGAGGGAATTTTTATTGGTTCCCAAGTATGACAGTTTTTGAAGGATCCTGGTTTCAAGAAAAAACTTAAACCCAGCAGAAAGAACAGTGTGGGATGCCTTCATAAATGTGAAATGTGAACAAGAATGTTTTGGGAATGTAAGAGGACAGACTATGAGGAAATTATGGAGAAGTTGGTAATGTCCTGCCAAATACTAGGTATATATGTCACTCAAGATGCATTTCCTGCATGTCCATTTAGATTTTTTCCTACCAACCTAGGAGATGTTTCTGATGATCATGGAAAAAAGTTCCATCAGACATCTCAAATGGAAAAGTGGTATAGTGGAAGATAAAACAAGAACATATTAACAGATTACTGCTGGACTCTAGAGCAAGAGACTTCAGAAGAATATGAAAAGAAGAAAACATGTCATTAAGTGTTTCAGTTTTTAAATGTATAGAATTATGAAAAAAAAAGGGTAATTAACATAAATTTATTTGTATCTAATTAGCCAATTAGCAATGTGTATAGCCAATAAATATGATATTTTGAACAGAAAATGTTTTCCTTCAAAAACCTCATTTCTCTGAAAAGTTAGGCCAATTCTGTTCCCAGATTCAGATTCAGCACTATTAAAACTAAACTAAAAAAAAATCAGTGAAAATGTTTGACACAGTGCATAAATACATTCTTTTTTTCCAGAATAGTGTAACATAATCCACTTCATATAAAATATAGTGGAATCTCACTTAATCACCTCGCATAATGAGCAAAACAAATTGTAAAAAATTGCTTTGCTTAATGAGCAATGTTTCACATAACAAATGATGAGGAGAGAGGAAGTCCCGAATTGTGCACATGCTCCATCAGTCTGTGTTTAGGTCTTGTTCCACTAGCATCTTAGTGTTGCTTGTGATCACATATTTTTCCAAACTTGCATTCACACATATTACTTTTAAACATCAACAACCATAGCCTGTTATATAATAAACATGCTAAATGATATGCCAAATTCTTGGACTATGTAAAGACTATAATTAAATGTTAGAAATTAATTAATTTGACTAGAGGTAGGCAGTTATGCTGTCATCTTGTATTAAATTTAATGACCAATTCCAAATTTAGAAAGGTCTGAATTAAAAATTAACTATCTATAATTATTAAATTTAATACAAGATAGAAGCATAACTGCCTACCTCTAGTCAAATTAATTAATTTCTAATATTTAATTATAGCCTTTACATAGCCCAAGAATTTGGCATATCATTTGAAGTGTTTATCAAACATATTATCTATAATTTTTTTTGTTTTCTACAGATCAAATTCTCATTCCAAGTTGGTTCATTCCGTACTAGAAGAAAAGATGAAGATGATTCACATTCCTTAACAATGCACATTGTACAATTTTCTTTGAATAAATGTTATAAATAAAATATTTGAGTATTTTTTTCGGTGTGGAACGCATTATCGTATTTTACATTAATTTCTATGGGAAAAATTGTTTCGCTTAACAAGTGTTTCTCATTACAAGTATGATTCTGGAACAAATTATGCTCGTTAAGCAAGGTTCCACTGTAGATTGTTAGTGGTTTGCTTACTTAGTTGCTTGTCACTTCATTCATTATTTGCATTTCAAAATGATTGCATTATATAGTGGCCAAAAGTTCTGCACCAGTAATCTGAAAATCAAATTTTTTATTTCAATCCTATTTAAACAATATTATATTTCAAGTACTGTGTGTATATATAATACAGTATATTGTTGAAAAGGTAAAATAATGTTTATTTAAATGTTTTTTTGGCAGGTCTGAACTATTATACATGGAACTGCAGTTATTGGACTCAGCTGATCATTAAAAGCAAAATGTATGAACATTAGGTTAAAGAAAATCACATTTTTTATAGGCATTATTTTACAGATGAAATTAAAGTGTAGTGAAAAAACTGAAACCCAATGAATTAAAAAGTTGGAATGACTTACCAATAGATAAGCATAATTTTAATCTTTAATTGGATAATCACAAATTTTTCACACCAAAGTGCATTTCTTTGGCATGCTTTTAATTATCTTTTGCAATTGTTCCATTGTGTTGGCATGATATGATATGATAATTATAACCTCAGTCAATGCTCTTTTGGTATTTGGTTTTAATGACACATCTTTTTGTTTAAATTCATCTAAAGATTTTCAATAAGGTTAGTATGACAACTTTACAACATACTGAGTTTTTTTTATTTTCTTTTATGCTACCCAATCTGTCACCAACTTTGACCAATGGCAGGAAGCATTATCACACTGAAAAATAAAATTCTGAGAATCTACATCTCACAGAATGTCTACATATTTGGCTCCATTCACTTTGTCATCAACAATTTTCAGACAGCCAACACCAGTAGTTGAAAAACCGAACCACAGTATCATTGTAAGTGAATGATTGATCAATGGTTGGGTATAACCTATTTTATAACTTTCATCTGGCAACATACATAATTATTCCCTTTATGAACAGAAATATTTACACTTGTTTCATCACTGAAAATTAATATTTTTTATTTATCAATATTTCAGTTCTTGCATGCCTTTGCCCAAGCAAGTTTTCAGAGACATTGTTGTTCATCCAAGTGATATTTTCTTGTAGCTTTCTATCCAATCAAACCTTTTTTTCTGCAGTTTATGAAACTGTACATGCAGACACATCAATATATATACTTCATCTTGTGAGTCCTTTTCTTAAATCTGTCATTTGACCATCATGTCTAGTAGATAGCCTTGGTTGATCTTCTCTCTTTTGATCTTCCAGAAATCCAGTTTTAACAAATCTTTTAACAGATACACAAGACAGTGCAATGGTTATAGACACATTTGACAGCAATTTCACAAGTGTTGAAACCAAGTTCAGGCAAAATAACCTTTTACCTGATTTAAACTGAAAGGAATGATATTTTGGCTTTAGACAGTGCCAAAGAAGTAGATATTACATAGGCAGCTATGTACCAGAAAGTAAATCAACTGACTAAACTGTATCATTTTTAAAATTAAAAGCAGAGAAAGATGTAATGGAATAGCAAACCAAAAGAGATTTTGAGAACAGCACTTGTGTTTCTGCAAAATTGCATTTTGACTTATAACTCCATTTCTATAATTGGTAATTATTTCTGTAAAAATATATAAACTCAGCAACAAATTATCTTTTCAACAATTTATTATATATAGCTATACATAAAATATAATATTGTTTAAGTTGAGCTGACTCAAAAACATTTGATTTTCAGATTACTAAAATGCAGGACTTTTGGCTACAAATGTATAAATGTAATGTTGTTAAAATTTTTTTTTAAATATATTACAGAAATTTTATTTTGTTAATGAGTAATTATTTATTGTGACATTGTCACAATGCCAAGCTGCAATTTTTAATCATATTTTAAATTAATTTAATGTAAAATATATGCTCTAGATTTTAGTACTGTCTTGCCTCTGTACATCATACTTTCCTATTAATAAAGAATCATGCTGGTCATCTATCTAACTTCATTCTAGGAAAATTTTTGAATTGAAAATCATATGACTTCCAGTCCAGACTGGAAGTTCATATACAATTAATCAGGGCCTCGTGCCCCTAAGCTTTCCATATCTGGTCCCAACTTTCATCTATCTAACTCTGTTCTTGAAATTAAGGAATGACAGGCAGATGAATGCTAGTGGGAATTTATAGACCTGCAATTTGAAAATTGCAGCCCAAAAATTATAATATGTTTTATAATGAAAATTATATTATTAGAAAAAACATCAAATATTAATATTTACACTTTATACATTGAATAATATTTAAAAAATTTTGGTATTCTAGTCATTCAGAGATATATTTAGAGAAGACTATTAGATATCAAAAGACTGAAGTTATTTCATCCAAAATAACAAACCAAAGTCTTTCAAACTAAACAAATCAAAAATTCCTAAAAAATTATTCTGTATTCAAATTATATAAATAATTAATAAAAATTTTACAAATACCAGTTTTCTCTAATAATGTTCATTTCCAATTTGTCTTCATGTTTTCTAGTCTTAGAGAAAATTGCAAATAATATTAAACATTACATTATGTTTTATACCAAATTTTTTCTTCTAAAAACTTAAATTATTGCATAATAGAACAGGATTACTAAGATTGTCAGAGTAATTGTAAATAAACAATAAACAATAGCACAAAATAATCTAACTGATTTTTTTTTATTAAATAAGAATTTTTATTCAAACTTAACTTACTTTTAAGTATTAAAAGCTTTTATGATTTAAAGAAAACAATTTATATCTAATAAAAAAAAAATATATACAATTTTTTCAAATTACCTTCAATTAAAATTTCAGCTTTAGACAAAGGTAAAGTATAATCTTTTACAGGAACTTGTTCAACTGCAAGTCTATATAAAATTTTTGGCTCAAAAAATATACAGGGATTTCTATCTCTGATGCATGCTAGCAATAATCCTTTAGCTTGAATTGGACCTCGAGGAACAACAACCTAAAATTAAAATGTAATAAAAATATATAAATAATTTTTGAATGTTTAAAAGATTATAATAATTATTATAAAGCTTAAATTTATTGATAACAGAATAAATTCAAATTTATTTTTCAAATATTTTTGACAATACAAAATATATATTCTTCAGGACAACTTTCTAAATACAGAGTAACCCACTTAAAATACACCCGAATGAGATGATGAAACATTGCTGTTGTAAATTTTATGGGGGATATTTAAAAAAGGAAAAGTGTATGAGACTAATCCTAGGACTATATGCAAACTGAAGAAAAGCATTCTCAGAAGCATTGAGGTTATCAACATCAATATTTTATGCAAGTTTCAGCCTGAACATGCTTACAAGTGGACAGATGCACAGGAAATACTGAAAGTAGTGTCATTGTAAATTTCCATATGTTTAAATAATGTTAAAATAGTTTCTAATGAGTGTCCCTTGCCTACATTAATTTGTATTTGTATAGGGCTGATTTTATGTGAGACACTCTATAGCAGGTGTGGCCAAACTTTTATCCCTTAGGGGCTACTTTTTTGGTAAAATATAGTCTGCGGGCGACTATGAATATAGGCAAACAATTTTAGGATTTTTATATGCGCATGCATTAACATTCATTTGCATTGTTCATCGGGATAAATACAAACAGTATGGGTATGTTGCACAGACAGTCTATTATTGTAAGAATAAATTATTGAATTAAGATTTTTAAACATTAATTTAAGTAAAAGCAAATTGTTCAACTTTAGCTTCGAGGGCTACTTTCAAAACCTTCGTAGTCGACCGGGCGACCGCGGTCTACGTGCTGGCCATCCCTGCTCTATATAATACAAAGTGCATGCTAGAACAGAGATTAACATTAATTTGAAATTTACAATTTGAAAATTACAAATAAAGAATAGAATAAAAATACAAAAATAATTAAAACAATTTCTATGATAATGGTTAGAATTAAAGTTCCAAAAATTCCAAAAACAAATTACTGTACTTAAATTTTGGAATATATAGGGCTACAATAAAAAATATAGCACTTCACATAGCAGAACATCAATAATCCATACAAATTCCATTCAAATACAAAAGATGCAGAACTAGCAAAAATGGTGCTGATATAATATAATCATATAATGTGGAATAATGTTATTAAAATCAATCACAGATCTGAATATAAACTTTATTTGGAAAGCACTATTATTCTTAAAACATAAACCAATTAATAAATCAACACTAATGATTCCAGAGGATTGATTTTATTTACAAAGAATGTTTGAAGATTGTATTAATTATCCAGCTTACTACCATATGTTTAATCCAAAAATTTAAGTAACTCATTTTTGGCACTTTGATTCTGACCGCTGTCATAGAAATTGTTGTGTTTAATATTTTTATATTCTTCCTAAAGAAGACATTTTGTAATGTCGAAAAGGTTTGAAAGAGAAAACAATATACAAGTTTCTACCTTATACATTTATGTTTGATCTGTTCATCTCACACATAGAAAACTGATTTCTGTTGTCAATAATATTAAAGATGGCAGACACCACCTTTAATGTTATTGGCAATAGAAAATTCAATAAACAATTTAAAAAGTTTTAAAATATTTTTAAATTGTAAATTTTATTTAAATATAAAGTATTCAATTGTTTATACATGCAAATAGAATGAATCTTGGGTTTGATCAATATATACTGAGATTATGCCAGCTTTTTAGTTACTAAGTGGAGGGAAAAACTAGTGACATTGTACGATGTGATCATCAGTTATGAGTTAACTGTTGTTAAGTTTGAATTAAAAAACATATTTCCTTTTGAAACTGATAGTGGTTTCTTTAACTTGATTTTCTTTGTTCCAGTGACTTTTAAGATAAAACTGATTAAAGAGAATGAATCTATGTGAAATGTTGTTTTAAATGTAAAAAGATGGCACAGAAACACTAACTTTTGTTGAAGTGTTTTTGTTGTTTCATTTGGATTCTTGTTTTTGGGCAAGTCATGCAAAATCAAGAATCCAAGCATCATATCACTACAATACACCATCTCACATTTCCATTCTAGTTCAACAGTTTTTTACAAAGAACCAACCATGCTCACCAGACTTAGTCCTATGTGATTTCTTTCAGTTCCCAAAATAAAAAGTTTGTTAAAAAAATGACATTTTCAAACCATTGAAAAAAAGAAAAGTCAAAGGGTGATATAAGAACAATTTCAATACATGTCTATAAGGAATTCTATCAGAAGTAAAAATGCATTGGCAGTGGCATAAATCTGCTACAGGAGATTTTTTGATTAAATCTCACATATGTATATATGTATGTAAGCATCTACTTACAAATCTCTCAATAATATATTTAAAAGTTTGAAGATGGTTTGTGAACAAAAAGATATCTGATGTAACTACACTACAGTCTTTATGACACTTTGCTAATGTAATGCTATTCAATTATATTCGTTTTAAAATTTTGTATGCTTATTCCATTCTTAAGGTGGTTTCTTAACAGTAATGCTTTCAGATTTTTATCAATGTAAACATTGTGCAGACAGCTAGGGAAATTGGAACTGACTAACAATATTGCACAATTACTTGCTTCTCGTGAACATTTGCTTATAGTTGAAGAGCAAAGATAACTTGCTTTATGAAATAGAGTCTGCTCCTGATGAAGGCCCAGTTGCATCAAAGAAGTGCCAATAAAATAATTAGAAAAATAAGTTAGTTTAATCAAAAAGGGATTGGCAGGTTTCCAGTAAATTGATACAAATTTTGAATGAAGTAATAAATAAAAGTGTCAAATGGAAAGAATGCTATAAAGAAATACTTAAGGAAAGAAAGTGTCTGTCCATAAAATAATACTTTTTTATCATCATATTTCAAGAAAGTGCCACAGCCATCACCATAGTCTAGTGTTGAACAGCCTTCAACAACAAAATACAATGATCAAAGCATCTCATCTTTATCAAGTTCTTCTCCTTCAAAACAAATAAAATACACTGAACATGCAAATGATGAATTCCACTTTCTCCTTCAGTCTTTCTGCAATAAATATGCAATTTTTAAGATTGTATTCATCAGTCACCATGAACAAAGAATGAAAATATTTTAAAGCAAGCACATACTACAGTACATTTATTAATCATAAATTTTTCTTTCTCAAATATAAACCTCTATAAGCGCAATCTATATATATATATATAAATGGACGTGTGTGTCCCTATATTTCACTTTTCTGCAAAAACTACACATCGCACATGAATGCTGTTTGTATGTGGTGTATCGCAACCACCATAGTTAGTGCACGAATGGAGACTTAGGGCTACCTAAGTCTCCATTCGTGCACTAACTATGGTGGTTGCATCTCGATAGCTATAAGGGTGTGGGAGATATGGGGCTGAAAGATATTGAAAGTGGTTTTCTATTTCGAATTTTATGTTCGAATTTGTTTGAATTAAATTCGAACAATATTCGAATTTGTTCGAATTTAATTCGAACAATATTCGAATTTGAATTGGTTCCATCATAGAACGATTGTAAACGTTCCAGAAAATTGATCAAATTGAAAATAGTTCGTTTGACTAAACGTAAAAATTCTCTAATTAGTCTGGAAACGGGGGACCTAATTCTTGCATTCTGTGAAAACGGGTAAGATTGGCTATAATGTAATTATCTTAATCTTCACTATCGTTACTTTTTGCCCAG